AGTGCACAAATTTGGTGCACTGGGCCTCTAGTTCTAAAATAAAAAAGTAGTTTGTTTTAAAAAAAATTTAAGAAGGCAAAACGGACTCTATAAACCTTCTGCTTAAAACTCTCCCTGGTATGTGTGTGTGTTTGCACTTAAGAGAAAAATTCCCAGTTCTTCACGTGGCCTACCAAGACCTCTGTGCTCTGGTCCTGTTTGCCTCGTGTAATGCCCTCCTCTTCTCTTGCCCCAGTCCAATGGGCCCTCTCAGTCACAAACCATCAGGCTCCTTGCTGACAAGAGACAAGCCCTCCACCTGGTGCACTCAACCTTCAGCTCAGTGTCACTTCTTCAGGACAACATTCTTACATCATCCTGCGTTGTTTTGTGGGGCAGCTGTCAATTGCAGTTACATTTGTGTTTTTGTTTTTTTTGTTATGTCCATCTATCTCATGAAATTAGGAGCTTCCAGGAGGGCTGTGGCCATGTGTCTCTTTGCTTTTGGTGCTTATTAGCACAGTACCAGGCACATTTTAGCACCCATAAATTGTATGAATGAGTAATGAAATGAGAAAACAAGCTGTTGTGATATTTTTTGCTCACCACTGGAGAATTTACAGAGCCAAGCACTGCAAATAGAGATAATTATAATATTACAGTTCGCTTAAAAAATTTAAAAAACAACTAAAGTTAAGGTACATGTAAGGCTTTGCAAAGTAGCCAAAACTTTTCCCCAACTCTTATAGTTAGGAAAGACTCATGGATACTTACTAACACGTAGGTTGTGAACAGGAAAAGAAACTGAAAAATATTTTAAACCTTCTACTGAATTCATGTACTGGCTAAATTTTAAAAGTATTTGTATAGAGATTTCAAATTACATTTGAGTCAAGTAAAAAAGTGATTTTAGCTTCATTTTTGATGCTTTTTTTTTTTTTTTAAACACAGTGCTACATACTTGCTTTGCTAAAGAATTGTGAGTCAGAAGGCAAAAAGGGATTTAACCAAGACATTGTACTATGATGAATTTTTCTCTCTAACTTTCCAATTTAAATGAAAAATGTTCCTACAGTTCTGTAATATTTTTAATCATTGTAAGCCTCTCCAGTGTATTTACTTCCCATGGTAGAGCTTAAATAGTCAGTGATTTCATCAGCAAAGAGACAAAAAGGCACCAAGTAGTATATATGCTGTACAAAAACCCCATCATTTAAAAATGATGTGCCTTATTTGACTGCTTAATGATATATGTAGCCTGACTTCTCCCAATAAAAAGGAGCTCATTTTACTTGTATGATAGGCACACAAAAGCCCTCAGATATATAGAACTTATGCATAGGACCTTGAGTCCAGAAAAAGATTGCGAAGAGAGACCTTGCCAATTCCCTATTTGCAAACGTGAGGAAACCTACCTGGTGAAATGCTCACTGTCTTCCTGCCACTTTCTCCTTCCAACTCACCCCTTCCTGGTGGAATTAAATGATGATACATAGAAAAACCTTGAACTATACACATCACACTGTTGACAATGTTGCCATTTAAAGTGTGGAAATAAATAAATGTAAAATAAATAGTTATTTTATTTCTTTTGTCATTATTTTATGAATTAAAAATAAAGTTTTATAGACATTAAGTTTTGATTTCCTCAGCTATTTAACTTGTGCGCTCTACTGTATTTGACTTGATACTTTTGATTACCGTATTTTCCGGCGTATAAGACGACCCCCCTAATTTTACAGTTAAAACATAGGTTTAGGCCTATATTCGCTGTATAAGACTACCCCCCACTTCCGAGGCAACACCAGTTCTTTTTTTAATAGACCGCCTCTCTGACTCTGGCCAATATGAGCAGGCTTTTTACTAGAACAAAGTGTACGTGTTCTGTACCCGAAGCTACACTGTGTTCTAGTAAAAAGCCTGCTTGGATTGGCTGAGTCAGAGAGGCAATCTATTAAAAAAAAGAACTGGTGTTGCCTCGGAAGTGGGGGGTAGTCTTATACAGCGAATATAGACCTAAACCTATGTTTTAACTGTAAAATTAGAGGGTCGTCTTATACGCCGGAAAATACGGTAGATATTTCAGTTTACTGAAAAATATATTAAAATTATAAGTAAATATAAATACTGAATTTTTCTTATTTTACTGGCTCCTGATCTCCTTAAGGTTAAAAATATAGAAGCTTAGATTCTCCCTCTTTAGCTAATTCTCTCAGGGCAAAAGCTGTTTTCACTGTTCCGTTTACTGCGCTGGGTTTCAGACACCACTCTAGTTTTTACTTGAATGTTCCTCACTGATGCTTTTATGAAGTTTTGTGGTAGTTGTTTTCACAGTTTATCTAGCAAGTTTAATTGTTTTCAGGAAGAATATTGGTCTAGGTTCCTAGTCAGCCATTCCGCTGGAAAGAACCTCTCATAATGTTTGCACCTATATTTACTTTGTGTATTACGTAATTTGTCAGAGCTGTGAAATGAGGTAATAAAAAATTGTGCTTATATGTCATTCACTAAATTAACTTTCCCTTCACCAAATAGTATCCTTAGAGTTTTAGCATGTGTTTTGTTTTGTTTTGTTTTGTTTTTTAAGTTAGCTTTTTTTTAGGTGTAGAAAAATATACATAATATGAAATTTACCATTTTGACCAATTTTTAAGTGTACAGTTGACTATCATTAAGAACATTTACATTTTTTTGCAACCATCACCACTCTTCATCTCCAGAACTTTTCTCATCTTCTAAACCTGAAGCTTAATACTTCTTAAAGTCTATTTTGTAAAAAAAAAAAAAAAAAAAAAAAAAAAAAAGTTGAGGCAGTCAGTATTGCTGCCCAGATTTTTTTTTCCATTTCCATTTGCATGAAATATATTTTTCCATTCCTTTATTTTTAGTCTCTGTGTGTCTTTCCCTCTGAGGTGGGTCTCTTGTAGACAGCCCATATGGGTCTTGGTTTTTTTTTTTTTTTTTTAATTCTTTATTGTTAAAAGTATTACATAAGTCTCCTTTTCCCCCCATTGACCTCTCCCCAGCCGTCCCCACCACCCAGCACATGCCCTCCTTCTGCCCCCCCCAAGTCTGTGTCTATTGGTTATGCTCATATTTAGCATGTATTTTATTTGATGAGAGCATTTATCCTACCAATTTTACTGAAATAAAATCTAAATCCCAAGTGAAGTCAGAGAGTTGATTACCTGGATTTAATTGACGTCCCTAAAGAATGATTCCATCAAACTGCTCTTTGGGGTGACTCATGAGTAGCAGCCCATGAAACAGCATTTCTGTGTTTCCCTAAGAAATGTCCAGGGAGTTCATTACATAAGCATGGCATTTCTGTTCTGTGGGCTCCCAAGGGTGAATTTCCTTCTGAGTTCCAGGAGCAATTTGGTTGTGGACATTATGAATTGAGGGATCTCTTGTGTCTCCCTTTTTCCTTTGGCTACTGGAAAGCTTAGCATCTTGAGAGGTCCTCCCCTGCCAAGCAAGGCACAACTTTATGAAATATAATTTTGTTTATAAATATTATAGATTTGAATTTACTCTCCCCCCCTTACTTTTCCTTTAACAGTTTTTCCATATTAAATACATATTTTTAAAACTTTTGAATAGTTTTTGGATTATAGTGGGTATATACAAAATCATTTGATTATTGTTTCAGATATTGCAAATCAGCATATAACCATATTTTATTTTTTATTTTTTATATATATAACCATATTTTAGAAATGAAATTATACAATTACATATTTACTTTTGCTTATATAAACATTATCAAGATCTAGAAAATTAGATTGCAGTAAAATTCATTGTCTCTAAGGCCCAAAGGAACAAATATGCAAAGACAGTAGAGACCATTATTATGATTTCTGAGACGGACTTCAGCGTAGCTTGCTCCCTCATTTGTTTGAATGGGCAGATTTCCAAAAGTAAAGTCACTCTCCTTAAATATTTTTCATATTTCAGTAATCTGATAAATGAGCTATTTATTCATTGTTTCTCTGGTACCACACAGTAGATTATCCATAGCAACAATCCTTTTCAGACTTAATAAGACCAGCTCTGTATTTATTAGGAAAATAATACCGCCAGGTTAAACAAACTGACTGCTGGTTTTGTGTATTTACTCTCTTACAAAGAGATCTGCTAAGCCTTCAATGTGTTCTATGTTGTGCATGTTAGAGAGGCTGACCTGGAGTACGACTCTATGATTCTGAATGTGCCATTTTTTTATGGTGTGTTTAGAATAAGAAAGAGGATGAGCAAATAAAGCTTTATAAATAAAGTGCTATTTTGTGTATTGAAAGGAGGGCCAAACTCTTCTCTGAACAGTAGAAATCAGACATATCATGGTAAATATTACCACTCCCCGTCTATAGAGCATAAATGGAATACTTCATATTGGCCCAGGAAAACACATTTCCGTTTTTCTTGACTCGAGAATTACATTGACATGGAATCTATAAGAAGGGCTGTGCTTCAGAAAAAAGAAAAAGATAGTTTCAGAATTACAGAGATATTTTTATAAGAGAACAGATTCCTTTTTAAGAATCTGAATTGCTATTGAAATGTAAATTAAACCTAAGATCTTTTCATGTCAAAAATGTAATAGTATTTAAAATCACAAAATGTTAGAGTGCATGTATTCCAATATTCTTATTTTACACCAGTGAATGCTTTTAGAAATTGTAAAAAAAAAAAAAAAAAAAAAAAAATGAAAGAAAGAAAGAAATCTCATCTGAAATGTTCATGTGCAATATAAAAAAAATTAATTAAAACTTGAGAAGTTTAATCCTACAAGGTATACTAATGGGAATATAATCATTGTTTACAGGGTAGATTGATTACTAATTTCATTTGTTATATAATAGAATGGAGTGCGTTTTTTCCCCTTTATTTGATTTTTTAATGTGGGTCAGCATTTATTAATTGGTTGAGCCTATTCTGATAGAATCTTTGCTATGTTAAATATCTGTTTTTCTTAGGTAAATTTCTTGTACTTGAATTACATTTTTTGTTTATATTCACAGATTCTGGAACTTTTCAAAGCCTGACCCTCTTCTTGAAATAGTGGACCATCATACAGAGTTTACCTGTGGTTTAGATTTAAGTCTTCAGAGCCCTACGCAGGTAATGGCTGCGATCTCCTGGGGGGTTTTCTTCCCATACAGTTCACAAATAGTTCTATGTGTGGCTTTTCTGAACAAAATTACTGCCTTTAGGCAAGAGCAAAGAACATTTATTTAATCATCCTGATATCTTTTGCTGTAAAGCTGGAGCATTTGAAACACTAGGAAAAGAGAGGTGTCCAGAAACTTGACATGCCTCTCTCCTCTTGAAAGACTGACTTTTCTGAGAGGAAAAGGAACCGTCCCCACAAGTACTGTGCCTTATATGCTGAAGGATTCCAGAGGAAAGGGTGGCAAGAGAAGAACGGAATGGGGAAGGATTGACGTCCCCAGAGGTTGGTGGCAGTGGAGAGTGTGTGGTCCTCATTTCAGCTGTCCCATAAGCATATGAGATGGTGGGCAAGGCGCTTCCCTCTCGGGACTGTTACCAGAAACTGTGTTAAAAGAGAGGCTTCCGATGGGGGACAAAGTAAAGGAGAATAGCTACTCTTTTAATTAATAAACTTTAAAATCCCCACATTTTATTTTCTTGAGGACGTGAGAGTTTAAATATTTAGGACTTTTTAAAAAGCTATTTCAGTTTTGGAAACCCAGATCAGAAACACTAGAATATGTTGAATGATAGTGCACTTTAAAACAGACTGTGTGAAAACACTAACATGTCAATGAAATAATATAATATGTGGAAATTCTAGAGTATGACTAAGAAATTATGTTTTTATGACAAATTTTAGAAATTAGACAAGAACAAATCCCATTTCTCATTGCTGTGTTTTTAAATTTAAATGAGTACAGGTGTTTTTTATTTTATTTTAGGAATTTAAGACATAATTCTGAGCTTAAACTATTCTCGTTAGATATTAGAATAGTCTCATTAACATTAAAATAATTATTGTAAAATGACTTCAAAGCAACTAAGAGGAGAAGAGACTGAAAGTGCTGGGTCAAAGGGCATTACCTTTAATGTAAATACAATGTGCTTCCAATGAACTGGATTTTTCTCTGAGACATAAATCTATTATAGATGATTTTAATAAAATATTCATACCTGTTTGCTCTCCTAGTTAAGAAAAAAGCTGTATGTATTGAAACATGACCATACCAAACAAAGGACCCTAAGTAAATACTTTCCTCTCATATATTTCTGTTAACCTATGTTCCATGAGTCCCAGACTGTGGCCCGAGGCAACACATATGCCTTCTTGACTTCCTTGATCCTGGCAGTTTCTCATCCTGTCTGAGAGGTGCCAAATGCTTTCTAAAACCTTCACATTGATCACCTTAGTAAAAGCAACTTTTTTTCAGAGGACTTACTAATTAGACTTTATGTATTCTTAGATAAGAGAATGTATTACAAGGTCATGTATTTTGTTTAAATCTGGTATCTGTCACCCATCTCTTCCTGTTTAACAAATTTCAATTGTACTAAGGAAATAGTTGCTACTGAGAGAAATAAGAGTGGGAAAGCAGGGTCTTCAAGCTCTACCTAACCATCAGGTTCACTGACATAATGTACAATTAAACTGTGCCAGAAGTCTCCACTGAGTTAATTCATAGTGGGACAGAATTTTGGGAATAGAAGGGATCTAAGAAATAAGACCAATCCCTCTCATTTATGCCTTCTTCCCACAGACATTTTCATATGCCAATCCTTGGGCCATGCACTGGGGATTCAGTAGAGAATGAAAGTAAATGTGGGCCCTGCCTTCATAGAGCATTTAATCCACTGTTATATCAGATAATCTCAAGAAAGGAATGTAAACGACAGTTGTAACAACCCTATGAAGGAGAAGTACATTGTTCCTCAAGAGTCCATAATCAGGATAGACATTTGACCTATCGATATTTAAGAAATTTGTAAGGAAGTGAGGGTCACCTGAGATCTGATGAGTGGGCATTAACTGTAGTATGAAGAGACAAAAATAAGAAAGATCATAACAGGCAAAAGTAACAGTATGTTACAGACGCAGCAGTGGCAGGGAGCATGGATAGTATTTGAAAATGAAAAAAAGCATTTCTTCCTTATTTATGGTAGACTATTCAACATTAGAATTTAAGGAAATATATTTGTTGACTTGTCATGCTTTTAAAAATGGAGTGTTGAGATTATTGACTAAATGTTATGTTTGTTTCAATGTTTCTTCCCCCCCCCCCCACCATTGTATTTATATTCTGTTTTGGACCTTAAATTTTCTTCCCTTTCTAACTAAGATTTCAACCAATATTTTTTTTTCACATGACTAACATTGACACATTTCAACACAAACATTTGCATTGTTTATATTAATAACTTTTGCTTTTACCAGGAAACATTAATGTTCTTTCTGCCTAGGGTAGATAACAGTCAAGTTCTTGGTGCAGTTCCCTATTGTTCTCTCACTTATATCGTTTCAGTTTATTATCTATTGCTATATAATAAACTCCCCACAAGTTAATAGCTTAAACAACAATTCCCTTTCCCCATAGCTCTGTGAATCAGTAATTTGGGATGGGCTAAGCCACGCAGTTCTTTTTTGGCCCCGTTGTCTGGTGGCTTCACTCCAGCTGGGTGGTCTTTGATGGCCTCGTTCACATGTGTGGGGTACAGTACTGGTGGTCTTCTCTGCCCTGTGCCTCCAGATGAGCTTCTTCACTTGGTTGTTGTGGATTTCCAATAAATTTCCAAGAAGGAGAGTAAAAGCCACAAGGTATCCTCAGGGCTAGGCTTCGAAATCACACAACATCCCTTCTGTTGCAAAGCAATTCTCAAGGCTAGTCAGATTCAAGGAGTGAGAAAGAGACTCCATGTCCTGATGGGAGTAGCCACAAAATATTTGCAGCCATTGAAAATATACCACATTAGTTTTTTGCTGGTATAATTGGTAGCTTAATTTATTTTTGACATATTTATCCTTTATTTTCAGAGTATGTGGTCAAGTTTGCTGATTACATGTTAATTTATTTCACCGTTACTTCATAGTTTATTTCCTTAAAAAAGTATCTTTCTCACCGGCTGGCATGGCTCAGTGGTTGAGTGTACACCTATGAACCAAGAGGTCACGATTGATTCCTGGTCAGGGCACAAGCCCAGGTTGCTCGATCCCCAGTTGGGGGCATGCAGGAGATAGCCGATCAATGATTTTTCTCTCATCATTGAAGTTTCTATCTCTCTCTCTCCCTTCTCTCTCTCTCTCTCCCTTCTCTCTCTCTCTCTCTCTCTCTCTCTCTCTCTCTCTATACATATATATATATATATATATATATATATATATATATATATTTATTTATTTATTTATTTATTTTTTAAGTATATTTCTCTCACCTCTTAGAAAATAAGTATCTTTCAAAAATGTATTGTCTCTTAGGGTAATCTTAACAGCTGAAGGACTTTGCTGATGTTACCTTAGCGTCTCTGTGTTTTAATATATTGTCTGTCTCAAAAGAAGACTTATCTGAGTTCTTGTATTTATAATTCTTTTTAGCTTCTCCCTTCTTAGAGATCTGAAAGATGAGACCCAAGAATATTATACCTTTCTTCTTGACAGAATGTAAGATCTTGTCTTTGAAAGTTTAAAACTTGACAAATAAGTGTCTGGGTCATTCTTTAAGGATAATTGCTGAGAAATTCTTTGTGCCCTCACTTGTTAACCAGGCTGAAGTTACCTTTCACTTCAAAAAAGTTTTCTTTGATTTTCCCCTCCCTCTGATCATGATTTGTACAGTCTTGGCATTTTCCCTTTTCTCATCCTTATTATTTCTAAATTGGATACTCTTTTTCTATGTTTTTAGCTTTATGATTCTCGATCTTCAACACACCCATTTATATAATTGGGATTTCCTGTATGAATGTAGTTTTAGAATTCTTGACTTTGTGATCTGTTAGTATCAACTCTGCTTTTTTAAATGCATTGATATTAGTCTAGTATTTATAAACTGGGTATTGGTTTAGATATCTGTACACATTTCTTTTGGGAGATAATTATTTTTCTTTTAAAGTATAAGTTATTAATTCATTCCAAGAACATGTATGTTCAATAAAATGTATCTCTTTCCCCATGATGAAATTGGGAAGTTACATATAAAAGAAAGAAACAAGATTTCTACCACTCTGTAAAAAATCAGTTATAACATATTAATATTTTGTTTCAGTCCTTTTTAAAGAAGATTTAAAATTAAAGTATAACACTTATACTGGAAAATACACATATTTTTAGTGTATAGCTCAATAAGTTATCAAGAATGCCCATGCCCATGTATCTATCACTCAGTTTAAGATATAGGACACTACCAGCATCCCAGAAACCCTCTCAATATTCCTCCAAAATCTCACCCTCTCCTTTCTCTGTATTTGTGCATATTTTTCAATATTGTAGTTATACTGCACATAAGAATTTTTCTTCTGGGACTCCCAAAATCCTTGGTAAACATAATCATTGGTGAATGAATATTCTAGTCCATCCATGCTAGGTATCCTTATAGTACCCTTAAAATAGGGTAGAAGAAATTTTGAATACTTTCATTTTGTTTGGTGGAAGATGCTTAGATTTGATTTAAACAAGTTCTTTAGATATGGTTTAAAAAGTATCTCTGGCTTAGTTGATGTTTTAGTGAAAATATTCATTATTTAAAATTCAACTTACATTTTTATTCAAATCCCTATTTTGACAATCTCAGATACCAGGTTTAGAGGTTGACAGTGGGTAAAATATTTTAAATTTCTCGGTATAAGGTTGGAAATGAGGCTTTAGAAGAGGACTGGCATTATTGGCAATTAGTATATCTGTGTCCTTGCACTTTTGATCTGAGGTAGTATCTACTGCATGTGTCAAACAGACTACCTTTAGCATTGGAAAAACATGTTCCAGAAGCATCCGCTGTCCTCAGGCAGCAGTCGGTGCCATTTCCTCCCTGATGCTTTAATAATTGTATAATATTTAGCTGAAAATTACATAACAAGTGCTTGTTTTCTGCCAGCCGTGAAACATTCCCCAGATCCAGCTCTGTAGGATCTTGGCGTGCTCC